ACTCACCCCCCTTCCTCCGCAGGGCGGACCCCTGCCCAAGTACGGGCGCTTGGTGGACGCCGTGGGGACCCCGCTCCCCAGGGGCCGGCGCGTGGACTGCGAGGTTTTCCTCCGAGCTGGGGTGCGCTATGAGCACACGGCCACCGCCTCCTCGCCCGACTGGGACCACGTGCCCATGACGGTGGAGCTGCTGGGGCCGGAGGACCGGGGCTCCCGGCCAGCGGGCGTGCTGGCTCGCCAGCACTTCCAGCTGCGGGTGCACATCCGCCCGGGAGTCGCCAACTCGGCGCCCAGGCCCAGCTCGGCAGCCCTGATGACGATGGAGGTGGGTCAGCTCATGCTCACGGCGCTGACTCCCGAGGCGCTGGCCGCGGAGGACGTCGAGTCAGACCCTGACGACCTGATCTTCCACGTTCTCGACGCCCCCACGGCCCCGCCGGGACACCCCGGACAGCGGGGCTACGTGGTCAGCACGGACGACCCCCTCGGCCGCCCAGCGTCCTTCTTCACCCAGCGAGAGCTGCGGGAGCTGAAAATTGCCTATCAGCCCCCCACGGAGAGTTCCCACGGGGAGCGCTTCTTCCAGCTGGAGCTGGAGGTGGCGGACGGAGACGGCGCCACCTCGGACCCCTTTGTCTTCACGGTGGTGGTGAGGCCCATGAGCGCCCTGGCCCCGGTGGCTAGCCACATCGGGGGACTACTGCTTTTCGAAGGTGAGTCGGGGCCCCTGTCCAGCGCCCACAGCCTTCAGATCAGTGATGAAGACAACCTGGAAGAGGTGAGAATGGCCTCGGTCGGGGGCTTGAGGCACGGGCGGCTGGGGGTGCTCGGGGCACCCGCTGGGTACACGGACTTCTCCCCGGCGGACCTGGCCGCAGGGCGAGTGGTGTACCAGCACGACGGCAGCGACACCTACAGCGACAACATCATCTTCCGGATGGAGGACGGGTGCCACCGAGTGGAATTCCTCTTCCCCCTCACCATCGTCCCTGTGGATGACGAACCGCCCACGGTCGAGGCCAACGCGGGACTCTCGCTGATGGAGGGGCAGGTGGTCCAGATCGCGCCCTTTGTGCTGAGTGCTACGGACGTGGATTCTGAGGACTCAACGATCCTCTATGTGCTGGAGAGCCAGTCTCTGGGAGGGAAAGCCGGGGAGAGAGACTGGGATCTGGGCCCTGGCTCCTCCCACTCAAGCCATGGTCTCGGGGCCATGCTGCTGCGCCAGGCCGAGCCGCCTCTGTCCCCTGCAGACCAAGACTGGCGCTACGTGGAGAAGGAAGGCGTTTATGAGAAGGAGGTGACTGAGTGGCTACAGAGCGACATAACGGAAGGGAGACTCTTCTACCGCCATCTTGGGCCACACAGCCCTCAGCCTGTGATGTCCCAGCTGGCTTTCCATGTGCAGGATGACCATGACCCACCCAATCTCTCCCGCCTGCACGTCTTCACCGTCAGAGTCCAGCCAGTGGATATGCTGAGTCCAGAGCTGTATCCAGGAACTACCCTAAAAATGACCGTGCAAGAATACCAACTCACTCACTTCCAGAAGAAATTCCTCCGATACACTGACCAGGACTCAGATGACCAGAACCTGTGGTACACACTACTGACCCTCCCAACTGACACAGATGACAACTGCCAAGTCCGGGCTGGGGACATTGTGCTCGCTGACGCTCCGGACACACTCGTCACGCACTTTACCCAAGCCCAGGTAGATCACCACAAAGTTGCCTACCGGCCTCCACAGAAACTGGGGATTGTACCACGGGTTGTGCAGTTTACCTACCAGGTAGAAGATACTGCAGGTAATAGCGTGCCAGGCACATTCACATTATTCCTGCAGCCTGTGGACAACCAGCCTCCAGCTGTCACCAACAGAGGCTTTACCGTCGTAGAGGGAGACAGCTTTATCCTCGGCAGTCATGAGCTAGATGTTACAGACCCCGACACCGACATTGACCAAATTGTCTTCCTACTAGTCTGGGGTCCCCAACATGGACAACTGCAGTACTTTAAAAAACGCATGGTGCCAGGGGAATCTTTCAGGCAAGCTGATATTATTCATGGGAGTGTCTCTTACCACCCTAGCAGAGGCCAGACTTCCAGTGACACTTTCCATCTGGAGGTAAGTGACGGGGTGCACCAGGTACCCATTGCCGTCCACATTTCTGTGCATCCCCCCGTGGCTGACAAAAGATCCAGGATCTCTATCAGAGGCAGTCCATTCCTGAATGTTTCCATAGATGTATTAGAGAATAAAGCCACTGAGATCACCATGGGTGTCATCCATGGCAAAAAGAAGGACACAAGTGACTTGATACTGTCTTTCATTGTAGAGAACAGCCCCAAGTTGGGCACTATTCTGGTGAATGGTTTGCCCACAGAACGATTCACCCAAGAGGATCTCATCAGTGGGGCAGTAACCTATGTCCACACCGGAGGTGAAGTTGGTTTCCAAAAACAGCATGATGCCTTCAGCCTCACCCTTTCCAAAAACCAGAGGGTAGTGGGGAACAACATAGTAGAAAGAGTGTGGGTGCAAGTAACTGTGCTTCCTGTGGACAACGTAGGTCCCAAAGTCTTGATGGGAGAGTCCTTCATTGTCTACGAAGGTGAGAAGAGCCCCTTGACCTTACAGCATCTCAACACTGAAGATGTGGACACTCCCCAAGATGAAATCCTATGCACAGTAACTAGTCAGCCAGTCTCTGGCTACCTGGAAAACATGGCACCAGCTCCTGGTTCAGAAGTGTCCCGGGCTGGTAGCCCCATCAGTGCTTTCTCCATCAGAGATGTCCAAGTATGGCATGTCAACTATGTACAGAGTATCCACAAGGGGGTGGAGCCACAGGAAGATCAATTCACCTTTTATTGTTCTGATGGCATCAACTTCTCACCCAATGTCATCTTCCGTATAATCATCTTACCCACCAATGATGAGCAACCCGAACTTTTTGCCCATGAGTTTGTGGTGTTAGAAGGAATGAGCCTCGTCATCGACACCCAGCTACTCGGTGCAGCAGATGCCGACCTGCCGCCCAATGAACTCCACTTTCAACTCACAGCCCTCCCTGGGCATGGACGCATCATACAGCAGCTGGCCACAGGCAGCCAGCCCGTCCACAGCTTTACCCTACAGGAGATCCAGGAAGCCTCCACCATTGTGTATGAGCACGATGACTCAGAAACCACGGAGGACAGTTTTGAGGTCTGGTTGAGTGACGGTAAGCACACCACCCACAGGAAGGTACACATCGTGGTGATCCTGGTGGATGATGAAACTCCTCAGCTGACCATCAGTGATGGACTGGAAGTAGAGACCGGACACTCTGAAGTCATCACAAATCGAGTCCTCAAGGCCACGGATCTTGACTCAGATGATAAGAGCCTCAGTTTTATCCTCCATTCTGGGCCTCAACAAGGGCTTCTACAGCGACTGAGAAAACCCAGAGGAGAAGTGAGGAGCAATCTCACTCAGGGAATGAACTTTACCCAAGATGAGATTGACAGAGGCCTCATCCGTTACACCCACATGGGCCAAGAAGGGGTTGTTGACCTTATCAAGTTTGATGTGACTGATGGGGTTAACCTTTTGATAAACCGCTATTTCTATGTCACCATTAGCAGCTCAGACAGAGTCTGCCCTGAGGTTGTCAGCAAAAGAGTCACCTTGATGCAAGGTGGCAGAGTGGCCCTCACCCCTGATCTGCTTGGCAACGGTGACATCATCAGCCCTGGTGAACAACTTCACTTTAGCATCTCACGGGCTCCTAGGCTGGGCCACTTGGAAAACTCTGACCACCCTGGGGAGCCCATTGCTTCTTTCACTCAGCTTCAATTGACTAGCAACAAAATCTCCTATGTCCACACTTCAACGGATGAGAAAAACACGGACAGCTTTGAGTTTCGAGTGACTGATGGACATGACCCTGCATTCAGAACCTTCAAGATCTTCATCTCAGCTGTAAATAACAAGAAGCCGATCCTGGCCATCCACACATTAACGCTGCAGGAAGGGGGTAGCAAACTGATCACTCCCTCTGTGTTGACAGCGGAAGACAAGGATACCCCAGATGATCTTATTCTCTTTACTATCACCCAGGTCCCCATTCATGGCAAAATTTTGTATAATGGTAGCCATCCTGTGACCACTTTCTCCAAGAGAGACCTGAATGAGAATCTGATTAGCTATTGGCACAATGGCAATGAGACCACCGATGACAGCCTCTTCTTGACGGTGACAGATGGCACTCACACTGATTTCCATGTCTTCCCAGACACCACCTTCGCAACACACACACCTCAGGTAATGAGGGTCCGGGTAAGCTCCCTGGATGATAGGTTTCCCTGGATTGCCATTAACAGGGGTGCTCCAGCTTTGAAGCGCCTTCACACTGGACACATGGGCTTTCTGATTACCAGCAAGTCTCTGAAGGCAGAACATCAGGACAATCCCCACGGGCTCCTGAAGTATGAAGTGACCAGAGGACCAGAGCATGGTTTCATTATCAAAGCTGGCCTTGGAACCGAGAGCACTCGCGTGTTTACACAAGGTTAGTGTGCAGTCTTCCCTGATTACTCTCTCTTTCATTGCATCAGAGCTCTCTGCTCTGTGCAAAACTGTCCTGGCCTCAGCCATTTGCCGTAAGATTCTGGTTCAAATAAAATACAGTGGAATGTGAAATTATTCTGAAAACAAAATGGGCAGTAAGTTCTTTTTCAGCAATTTCATCAGAATGGCCATCTAACAGGAGCCTATAGATATTTAATAAAGCTTATAATTACACCTTAAAACTGTGCACAAAAAAAGGGCATGACTTCTACTTCTGAAATATTGTCAAAAAAGGATACATTAATTTCTATAGTAAGTATTGGTTTGGCTTTAAATTTTAAGGGTGACATATTTTAAAATAATTTTCATAGATGATTAGTAAATCTAGATTTTGAAAGATGATGTTTGGTAACTAGATTTTGGGTATACAGTATTATACTGCAATTTTTTTTGTACTACTCAAATGTAATTTCTACACCTAAAAAAAAACCATAGAACTACATTTGCCTAAGATCATTTTTTATTTGATACTTGATGTTGCTACTGATGGTGTAATGTCATAATATCAACAAATGAATTCTTTTTGTTTTATTTATGACTATGCCAAACGATTCTTGACAAATCACTTCTTAGAAAGGCAAAGCAGTGAGGAAATTGATGAAATATGAGGTTTCTCACCTGTCCTGGATTTTGTGTGACATCCTATAGGCAAGTGAAGTTTATCTTCAAGAGATTCTGATAATCTAGCTAGTGGTGTCTATTATTCTGCAACAAATTAGAAAATCCGCCTTTAGATTTTGTTAGTATTTTCAACTGCAGAACTGTATCTTATGGCTCCCTGACTTTAGAATTGTAGTCTTTCTGAATAGAGTAAAAAATATATTTCTTGGCATACAGGAAAACTTGTTTTAAAACTGCTAGAGGCAACTCCTTCTGCTTTCCCAGGTGATCGACATCCAGTGGCTTTTGCCTGCTCTTTATGTTGTCTCATAGCTTCTTTAGGTAGCTCTGTGCATGAGAAGTGAAGATATGCATGGAATCTGATACATGTCAACCTAGATAGAATCTCAGACTCATGGGGAGTGTTTAAAAAATAGTTTGGCTCCATTTTCAGAATTGCTATCCAAGCAAATGAAATCATATGTGGTTCTATAAGAATTATTCCCATAAACAAATGTCCCCCAAAGTTACATTGTCTTTAGAATGCTAATAATTACCAATATAAAAATATAATTATATACCAAAGTAACAAATTCATAAAAACCCAAGAGAATAGGCAATAGAAAAAAATCATGATGGTATTCTCGTTTTCTTTTTTCTTAGAATGCAGCAGTTATTCTTGTTTAAGTTCATTTTGGCAAATAGGTAATGAGTATCTACCATTATGCCAAACTCTCTTCTCATGCAGAAGAGACTTAAAACCAGATGGTCCTGGCTCGCTGCAGAGTTTCAAAGTGTTGTATGACAAGCTTGTCTTCCTTGGGGGACATTACCCCAGAGGACATGTATACAGTACTACATGACAAAGTTTTAAGCTAGAGATTTGCTTCTGTCGTGGTAAATTTAATAAAAATATAGATGTGTGTTCATTTCATTATTATTTTTAAATGTATTATAGTAATATCATATTCTCATGCCCTGTTAAAACACTGAAGTTGTTAACATATGGATTTTCTATTGGGCCAATATGACTTAGCGTGATGGCTGCTTTTTTCTTTAGCTGACATTGACGAGTTGAGGATCCTCTATGTCTTGAATGAGGGCAGCAATGCAACAAAGGATGTCTTCTATTTCTCTCTTGAAGACAATGGTGAGTCAATGATAAAACCTTAAAAGGACTCATGACTGTTTAAAATCAATATAAAACTGAAAAAAATTCAAGGATGTATATAGGACTCACAATCAGTAGTGTCCTAATATCAACAAATGAATTCTTTTTTGCTTTATTTATGGCTCTATGCCCAACAATTCTTGACAAATCAGTTCTTAGGAAGACAAAGCAATGAGGAACTCGATGAATGAAATATGCGGTATCTTACCTGACCTGGATTATGTGTGACATCCTATACGCAAGTGAAGTTTGTCTTCGAGAGATTCTGATAATCTAGCTAGGGGTGTCTCTTATTCTGCAACAAATTAGAAAAATCCACCTTTAGATTTTGTTAGGATTTGCAGCTGCAGAACTGCTTCTTATGGCTCCCTGACCTTAGAATATTGTAGTCTTTCTGGATAGAGTAAAAAACACATTTCTTGGTGTAGAGGAAAACTTGCTCTAAAACTGCTCATTTAAGCTGCACCTATGTCTGTGTACTATTATCTTCAAAGCAGCATAATGGACAACAGCTAGTTAACAGAAGACACTTTCTCTACACAGCCAGGGATAAGATGATTATGTGGTCAAAAGAAAAATCATTTTGCAGTATGACAGGATAATAGCAGAAATTATGTCTGTGTGCTGTTTGCCACTCAATAATCTCTTTCAGTATAAGTCATTAGTCATTCCCAGTAAGTAACATGCATTTTCTGCCCAAATAATGTATAATCAATCAAGGACTGAATTTGTTGGAAAGTCGTCCTATGTGAGATAGCCTTTGGTATACTGGGTTAGGATCTCAACTTGCCCCATGTGACCTTGAGCAAGTTACCTTAGTCATCTTTGCTATTCATTCCCTCATCCATAAAATGGTCTTCATACCTGTGCCAAAAGGTTAAGAGGATTAAGTGAGATCATAAAAATAAAGCACTTGCACAAAGTAGATTCTTATTCATTGTTACTTTCTCCACCTCTGATGAGATTAAATACAGTGGAAACCACTGATCCTTCCTCTAGATAGTCTCCTTTAGAGTTTAATCAAACCTTCCCTCCCTTTCCCAAGTCGTTCAGAATCAAAGTTACTGAGAAGATAGAGTTAATGACATTTAAACAGATTCATAAAGTGAACAGATGTTTTATAGTGACTGTTTTCCTTTCTGTTTTTGAAACTGCCGATGCCCTAAAAAGAAGTACCTCTGTCTCTGATACTGTGCATTATGGACAACATCAGAAACAACAATCAGTCTGTGATGATACTGTAGTGTGAATTTTATGTAGCTGTCATTTTTTTAGTGCTTTCTATGGGTTAGTCAGTGCTTATAGACATTAGGACTTTCTATTCTCACCACAAAATAAGAGGTGGATGTAATGATGTGTATTTTAAAATGAAGACATCAGGACTGAGTAACTTGCCTGAAGTCATACAAATCCAGGTCTTGCCGATCCCAAAGCCAGGGCTCTTGATGTCTCAAGCCTGTAATCCCAGCACTTTGGGAGGCCGAGGCGAAAGGATTGCCTGAGTCCAGGGGTTCCAGACCAGACTGGGCAACTTGGTGAGACCACGTCTCTATAATAAATCAAAAAAATTAGCCAGGCGTGGTAGTGTGTGTGTGCCTGTAGTTCCAGCTACTTGGAAGGCTGATGCTGAAGGATCACCTGAGCCCAGCAGGTCAAGGCTATGGTGACCATGAGCATGCCACTGCACTCTAGCCTGGGCAACAGAGTGAGACTCCAACTCAAAAAAAAAAAAAAAAGAAAGAAAGAACTATCGTGGCACTTACTTTACTTTGGGAAGATGAAACTACAGAAGGAAATCAGAGAATAGAACAAAGACTGTACTTCTTAACCTAATAAAGAAGCACTTGGTATATTAAAGTGGAAAGAATGATCAAACACAGACTCCATACCAGGTGTGGTGATTCCCGCCTATAATCCCAGAATTTTTGGAGGTCAAAGTGGGAGGACCACTTCAGGTCAGGAGTTCAAGACAAGCCTGAGCAACATATTAAGATCCCCTCTCTACCGACAAAAAAAAAAAGAAATAGACTTTAAAACATTTAAGTACTCATTTGTTCATAGTGGATCTCAAAACATAAATGCATATGCTAATTAAAGATTTGTGCATTCATTTATCCAGTGATTTTTTTAAATTAGCCCTGAGTGCCTTACATACAGATAAGATCCATGTTGGCTGGTGATCAAGATTTTTGGAACAACTGGTGAAGGACCCACTTTAAACATTTTTTATCTGTTATATTCAAAGCCAACTTAATCCTTTTTCTTTTAAAATATCCTCACAGGGCCAGGTGCGATGATTCATGCCTATAATCCCAGCACTTTGGGGGGCCGAGGTGAGAGGATTGTCATGGGTTCAAGACCAGCTTGGGCAATCTGACGAGACCTCACCTCTACAATAAATCTAGAAAAATTAGCCAGACGTTCCAGCTGTAGTTTCACATATCTATAGTTGTAGCTACTTGGAAGGCTGAGGCAGAAGGATCGCTGGAGCCCAGCAGGTCGAGGCTGTGGTGGCCGGGAGCGGCCACTGCACTCCAGTCTGGGTGACAGAGTGAGACTCCAACTCAAAAAAAACAGGAATTACAGGCATGCGCTACCACGCCCAACTGATTTTTTGATTTATTGTAGAGATGAGGTCTCGCTACCCAGGCGGGTCTCGAACCCGCGAGCTCAGGCAATCCACTCACCTCAGCCTCCCAAAGGCGCGGGATTATAGGCTGAGCCACCGAGCCCAGCTCAAAGTGAAGTTTAATAGTTTATTCACCATTACATGAGGTCAACTTTTTTTTTTTTTTTTCTGAGTTGGGAGTCTCACTCTGTTGTCCAGGCCAGAGTACAGTGGCACCATCACGGCTCACCACAGCCTCAACCTCCTGAGCAGGTCATCCTTCCACGTCAGCCTCCCAAGAAGCTAGGACTACAGACGCATGCCAACACACTCGGCTGATTTATTATAATTAGTAGTAGTGGTGGTAGTAGAGATGAGGTCTCACTATGCTGCCCAAGGTAGTCTTGAACTCCTGGGCTCAAGCGATCTTCTCACCTCGACCTCACAAAGTGATGGGATTGCAGGCGTTGAGTCAACTTTTAAGTATTATGGCGAATTATTTTATTGGGGTACTGCTGGGAACCCTTGGTTTCTCACCTCCCTTTCTCTGCCCACTTATAAACTGATTTTGTATTTATTAGAAGAACAGTAAATAGACAAAGGAAGGGAAGGAAGTAACTCAATATACAGTTCTAGTCTTTGATGTTATCTGCTGAGCTAATACACAGTGATGCCCTTGCTCATCCACATCTTTTCTATCAATTGTATCTTTTTCTTTTTGTTCTGCTATAGTTAAATGAAGTAACTTATACCAAAAATGGAACATGATGCCTAGCATGTATCAATTTCCCAGTAAATACAAATTTTCTTCTCTTCTTGCATCTCACATAGTTGTGGATGGACACAACTAATCTCATGTGCAGAGTTTAACTGTCAATTTAAATGGAAATTTTTAATAATGTGACTGATTTGTATGTTCCATCCATTTCAACAGTTTTGAGTAATCCAGACTAAGGCTATTTCAGTATAAGATCTCAGTCTACTCTTTAAATTGATAGTAAATTTCATTATGTTCAAGGTTATTACGAAAGCCACTGGCAGAATAGGGAATATATTTTAAATTTCTGAAGCTCTGAACTGTGCCAATTAAGTACACTGTCAAGTTCATTAATCGTCCTTCCCTAAGTCATTATAATCATAGATTCATAGAGTTGAATTGAAATTTCGCATATCTCTACTATATACAAGGGGGGGACCGACAAGACCCAGAATTTATTTATTAAAAATTCTATGTTTATCTTACATGTTTAAATTTCAGTCACCTTCAAAGCACTCTTTGTTGAATGTCATGCATACACCTAATGAGATGCTTTTTCCACTGCTCAAAACAGTTTTGAATGTGTCGATTTTAATGTGTTTTAGTACTTCTGCTGTTTTTTGTTTCACATCTTCCACATTGGCAAAACGTTTCCCTTTGAGGATTTTTTTCATCCAGGGAAGCAAATAAAAGTCCCTGCGGGCAAGATTGGGTGAATGGGGCGGGTGCAACACGGGAAGCCATGCAGATTTCAGTCAAAAACTGCTGAACACTCAGCGCGGTATGGGCAGGTGCGTTTGTAGATTCCCCAACATGAAATGGGAAATGCATTGAAAGACTCTCCAGAAAAAAACTCACTGGAGCCAAATGCAGCCTCTCCCAACAATGCTAGCTGGTACACTGATGCCAATTGGCTTCTGGAACCACCCTCACCTAGTGGAGGAAGCCTGTACTACAAGAGGCCTACCCTCCAAAAGTTAATTCTGGGTTTTTTGGGTCCCCCTCGTATAACACTGAATGGGTCTTTTCCACTTACCACATAATAATATTACTCTCAACTTATTATGTGGTAAGTGGAAAATATATCTGCAAAGTGTTTTACAGGAATTACCCCCATTTAATTCTTAAGATAGGAATCTGTAAGATAGGAATTATTATCTCAAATGTTAAGATGATGAAATGGACTTAAGGAATTAAAAATGATCTGTACAAAGGAGCCATCTAGAAGAACCAAGTCAATTCCTTCCAATAAGCCACACTGAATAACTATATGCAAGTAAATGTATTTTAATTTGTGATCTACTATAAGCATTTAACTTTCTTCTTAAAATGAGAAGCATATTATTTAATTTTCTTTTAAATTACTTAACATTTAAAGCCCATGTGATTAACACTATGCATTTGGATATTTGAATATGAACTGATACTTGTCTCACAGTCCATATGAATACCGATTTTCAGTTGAGATGAGCCATCTCTTTCAAGGAAATTATGAAAATAAAGTAATAAGAGAATTTTTTAAAGTTTATCGGGACAGCGACAGTGGTAGAACCAACCATAAATTCCGTGTCTCCCCATGCGGTTAAAGTGACATCACACTTAGAACCTCAAACT